CCAAGTGACTTCAACATCAGGAAAAAGGAGAAACTGGAGAAATACCAGGGCCTCAGAGAGGAACTGGAGAAGGCCTGGAAGGTGAAGACCACAGTGGTGCCTGTGGTCATCGGGGCCCTCGGGGCAGTCACCCCCAAACTGGAGCAGTGGCTCAAACAGATCCCAGGAACAACATCAGACATCTCAGTCCAGAAATGTGCAGTTCTAGGCACAGCCAAGATACTGCGCAGAACCCTCAAGCTCCCAGGCCTCTGGTAGAGGACCCGAGCTCAGAGGATGAAAGAGAGAGAGAGAGAGAGAGACCACCCGCGGAGGGTGAGAAGGGAATTTTATATATATATATATATATATATATATATATATATATATATATATATATATATATATACACACACACACACACATAAATATTTATTTTTATAATTATTTTCTCGCAAAAACGTGAATAAAGTGTGACAACTTTGCGAAACAGATTGAGCTTTTACGGTGTCCGTAGTTCTCCAGATAAGCGCGCTGAACAAGCACGTGGTTTCTCAGTTCTCATAACGAGCACGCGCGTATTTTGCCGCCTGGGTGGTGCAGAGCGGCAAGAAGACGCAGGGGGAACCGTATCTGATGGGGAAACGCGGATCGACGTAACAGCGGCCACCAGGCTTATAATACACTGGGGGAAACCCTGAAATGATTTCTTTATTTTCGTTTTTAATGTATTTCTAATATTGTGTAAAAAAGCTTAAGTGGTTAAATGAATGTGCGCATTTTTTTAAAAATTCAATTAATAAATCATCAGAATAATCGATAGATTAATCAATAACTAGTAATAGTTGCATCCCTAATTGCTGAAATAATAGCATACATGGAGCAAAACTGCACAAAAAATATATACAGTGTGCATTTAAGGAAAAAAAAAACATTGAATGTAAACATGTTGCAACCAGGCCTGGATCACCTGATTCAAATTCTGTAAGAAAAAATAATCATCTATTAAGCATCCAAATTAATCCAAAAATCATCAACATTTCAGGCCTACATTGTGTTGATGTTAAGTCAATCAGAAAGGGTTGTTGAATCAAATGCATCCTTTGCTACAAATGATCAAGAGTTCACTAAAAGAATGCTGTTATTTCATTTTAGGCAATAAAATGTCTATTTTCTTATTTAGAAAATGAATTGAATCATTTGTTTATTTACATCTTTTTATGTATTTCTAATGTATAAAAAGATAATTAAAAATTTGCCAGTTTTTTAAACAAATAATTGATTAATTGACAGAATAGTCAATTAATTAATAACTAAAATAATTGTTAGTTGCAGCCATACAATCTTCCTTTTTGAGCTGCTTCAACATGAAATAAAAGCCCTCAGTGTTTAATCTTCATCTGTTTTAATGTGCAAACAGCCAAATTGCTACTTGCAGTTAATAGAAAGCAGCCGGTAAGCATTTCTGAGCTGAATAATAACCTGTACATGACTCTCTGCAGGTTTGTCGAAGCTCTGAGAGCTCAGATGAAGGAGCGTTTGTCTCAGATGAAGCTGGAGCTCCCTACTCTCTGCTGCTGTGCCTCCTCTTTTTGGGATTCCCACCCTGACACCTGCGCCAACAACTGCATCTTCCACAACAACCCCAGAGGTACTAATGGCACACCCTTATACCTATGCACACATATGGCCTGTGAACTGCTGTCTGAAATGCTTCTCTCCTCCACAGCATATGCTAAAGCTCTGCAGTTAACACTGGTGAATTTGGACTTACAGTAATGGAAACTGCAATTTCTGAAGGAACTGGCATCTCGCTTTTCGTTTTTGTCAGATGTTTAGACATGTTTAGTGGTTGCATCATTAGAAGACATGCTGTAGTACTTTTCACACATATTCTTTGTAGGGTGAATTTGGCTGCTTGTATTTTATGTCACCAAATTACCTGGCCAGTTTAACATTCCCAGTGATTTTAATAGCACCCTAGTTGGACTAATTATATCCCCATTACTCTTTATTAAGGTTCTAATCCAGCTCAAACTCAACTTTCTAACAATTTAAGCAATACTTTTCTGGATTAGGTATAATAAATATTTTTTCTTTGTTTGCATTTTGTTAACTTTTCTTACTTTATTTATTGTAAATTATGAATTCTGTGTATATGTGAACATTGTACATGTAATTATTGACAATTTTACAAAGGCACATTGACTTTGTAAAATTATGTCAATGTGACAGAAAATAAGTAAAAGTAAAAGTTAAACTTGAATTTCACTCATTGTTGTCGGGTGGATTTTGCAAGAATTCACCTACTGGTCTGCTGTTTTTTTTTTAAAAAAGTATTAAAAAAATAAAATCTCACGTTTCCCTCACTATCTGTTAGTTTCTATGAGATTTCAGAATCAATACCACTCTGTCAGTCCAAATGGCTTTTTTGAGATCCTAAACTTAAGTGTTTATCAAAGTTGTAATGAAAAAGATAATTGATATTTTATACTTATGCTTATTTTTACCTCACTACTATATCCAGTGAGGAATAAGAAAATATCTGCTTTCTCCATATTTATTATTATTATTATTATTATTATTATTGTCATTAAAGGCTAATTTCTTCACTGCCAATATATTTAATATTTGGCACCTACATATACTCATTACCAGTATTGTGTTCAA